TTTGTAGATGTGTATCCATTTACACTAAAAAAAGGTACGAAGTCAAAGAGGTCATTTTTGGTAAATAGCTGGCCTAGTGGATTTTAAAATGTTAGAGAACATATAATAATTTCAGTAATCTCCATGTCAAAGAAAACTTGAATCAAATCACCAAGGGACATTCACTAGGTCATGAAGATCAGGGCCAGTAAACACTGAAGTGTTCCAGAAAGATCCAGAGTGATTCAGAGCGATTCAGAGTAGCCATCACTTTGTCTCTGCTCAGCTCTCTTTTCTTTACACCTCACAGAAAAAGTTAACACCTCAGGGACCTATGTAGGATATAGGATTCCTCCCTTGGATGCTGCTCTCTGAGTTCAAGGTATCCCATAAAAATTTAGCCAAAAATGACTGTCACTTCACAGTTCACATTTGAAACACTGTGACACCTGAGTCTGCCTGAAGACACCTGCCACTTCCTGGCATTTTTAATGAAGTCAGAATAAAGAACTTTCAGGATCTTCTAATGTCTAAAGGCCAACCAGAAGTCTGCAGGAGCCACTGGGACTATGCCGTCTTCCTATAGGGGCACAGTGTTCATGATTACTCCTGCACACTAATATATTTCAAAACTATGATTCAGAGCCTCAGCTTCATCCAGAATTATATGCTTTCTCACCTCTGTTGTAAGGTCAGCCCTTTCAGGAAGAAAATGAGATAAACTCAAAAATACATCCTCTGTCCTTGACTCTGATACTAAACAGCTGTGTGACTTCGATGTATGATACTAATTTTTGTGTATTATACATTATTATGTGTTTCATATGCACTTTGAAAACAAGAACATAAACATTCTTTAGGCCTTATAAATATTAAGTAAGTTAACTGTTTATAAAATATGTTCTCCAGGCAGTTTTGTTTGGGCCATATATTATTTTGATAATTTCATATAAAATCATATTTATATACTATATTACCTTAACAGTAGAAATACATTACTATTTGAGGCCTGTATTCTCACAGGGAAAAATCCACTGAGAGTTGACTGACCTGCTAGTTAACACAGTACCTAATACTTGCAACTTGTTCCATGTATTTATTATTTGTCTGGCTCTACCAGGAATTTGAACTTATGATACCCATCTTTGTCTCTGGCCTCTTTCTCTCTTTTTCACACACACACACACACACACACACACACACACACACACACACAGAGAGAGAGAGAGAGAGAGAGAGAGAGGGAGAGAGAGAGAGAGAGAGAGAGAGAGAGAGAGAGAGAGAGAGAGAGATTTAAATTGTGCTTGCTAGTCTAGATGGCTTTGCCAAGCTTTCAGACAAATCCAGAGTATGGATTTTTGTAAAGCATTTCTGGGATCTGAAGTTTAATCCAGTTGCTGTCTATCTCCCTTAAATTTTGTTTACTGTAGCAAATTCCTTGTTAATATGCCCATCCCCCCCCCCAGTGCTACTGAAAAGAACATTCTTCCCAACATATCAATAGACTGATGCAGAGTGACTTTTCAAAGGGAGCATGGTGTGATTCTCAGGCCTGAGGTGGTAATCCCAAGGGCTGGAAGCTTGATGTTTCTGACAGAAGCCAGAAAGAGTAGGAATCAGGAGCAAGTAGCTGAAGTTTTACTGTGAAAGAATATGTTTCTCTTGCTCAGTTTAGCAGAGTGATAAATATGATGAAGCAGCCAAAGGTGATAGATTTTAGCTCACCATCCCTATTTACACAAATCAATTCCAAAACATTTTCAGCAGGCCCCACACTGCAGTTTTCTGGTTACAAAATGAAGTAGTAGGAGCCTTTTATTCAAACTGAATATTTACAGTGTTTAAATATAGTAACTGTTATTTGCATTATTTTAAGTAACCACCATTTATTGAATGTGATATTTATGCACGACGTTGTGAGGACCTGGTTCATACCATCTTCACTGCATCTGTGACACGGGGGACAAAACGAGTAGTGGGGTGAGGATTAAAGTTGAGACTCTATGTGACTCCAAACCTGAAGCTCACCTCATTTTTTCTCCAGAGCTTCACTGGTTATCTGAGTGAGGCTGGGGGAGGAGAGGGATAGATGTGGGGAGGTGGGATTTCTCTCAGAGGTTATCAGCATTTTTTTCTGGACTGATCTGTTCTGTCTAACATTTTTAAAACTACAGAGGCCCTGTTTAAGGCAAATGTGAAGTCAAGTGCTGTCTCAGTAATACTTTCATACATTTGGGGAATTCTTAAATCTTAGCCTGGGAAAAGGGGATACTAACTCATCTAATTGCTTTAGAAAGAAAACATACATCTGGAAGGGAAGCCTGGTACTGTATTAAGATCATGTCTGAACGTATCAATGTACTTGTTTTGAAATATGTGGATTTGGTTTGCTTCCTTCCATTTAAAATGCATTATTTTCTAATCACAAGAGAACAAGGATGTTTCAGTACCCAAAATTTTATTAAAGAGTATTATTTTATTTTATCAGTGAATGCTGAAAAAGATTCAAGATGATTCAGCAACAAGCCTGTTAAGAACTTAATAAAATTGAAATGCAAATTAGGTATTCAAATGTTATAGAGTTTACTCAAAAATCTATCAGCAAACTATAATTTTTATTGTACTTTATTTTGTGTTACCAAAATCAAATTCAGGACCTTGGTGCTTTCCAGACAGTGACTTGTGTCACTGAGTTACATCCCTGGCCCCCATAATTTTAAAAAGTAAAACAAAAATGTAGCTTCTATTAAAAATAGAAAATCTTAATAGTTATTTTTACTCTTATCTTTTATAGCTGTTTTGCAGGTGTTAGTGATTTAAACAAAAAAAAGAAAATTACTTAATTTGCTTGAATATTTTGGAAATACTAACCATAGGTTTTAGTTACTTATGCTACACCTAAAGTACAAGAATAAAATAATAACTAATACTATACTAATGTACATAATAATTGGATAAAGCACCTTCATGATAAATGACAAATGTTTTATTTATAAAAGTAACAAAGGTCATACATTTATAAAACACATAGAACTAAATTTAGCTTGTACAAAGAGTTTTGTAAAACAATATAAAAATGACATTGTTAAAAGTAACACATCATAGATTCTTGTGAAAAATTATGAATGTTTACTCTCTTATAGTTATTCTACAAATATAATTCCTATTAGAAATCCAAAACTTTTAATCATTCCATTAAAATGTCACTTAGATTGCTTTATGCCACATTTTTAACTAAATCCACTGTGAAGCTATTTAAAAAAATTAGTGATGTCATAATTAAAGGACTTGTAATGCAAATTCCATACACACAGATGCATGTGTTTTGTATGTATAAGTATACATATGTATGCATTTAAAAGACGACATACATAGTATTTATTTCAGTGAGAATAAAAATAAATTTTATATATGATTGTCTCAGTACATATGTGTAATTAATGCAATTTTATTACTAGTGATTAATATATTTTTGGACTTTGACAGAGAAAGACTTAAAAGTAAAAATTATTATAGTAATTTTAGACAAATTTATTTATTTATTCATTCATTTATTTTGAGGCAAGATCTCTCAGTACAGTTTGGGCTAGCCTTCAGACTCATGGCTACCCCCTTCCTCAGCCTCCTCAGATTACACCACACCTGGCTTACTTTTAGACAAAATTATAAGAGATTATTTTTAGAACATAGAGATTAAAGATATTGGTGATGATGGTGATCATGATTTTCTAGGACTGGAGACTGAAACAGGGCTTTATGCCTGCTGGTTTACATACGCAGCCCAAGAATACTTTACTGAAGAGAGCAAATAGTGTGTGCATTCTCAACATCATGCTGAAGGTGAGTCCCATGTACCAACTCTGATCTCTGTGATGTGAGTGTATCAGTATAATGCTGTAACTGTCAGGAAGCAAAGATTAATACCGGCAATCCTGTGTACCACATTAAAGACTCTACTTATATAAAGCACTATATTAATGTTCTCTAAAAAGATAATTGGGGGAATGGGGATTTAGCTCAGTGGCGTAAGTGCCTGCCTGGCAAGTGCCAGGTCATGAGTTCGATCCCTGGTACAAAAAACAAACAAACAAAAAAAAGACAATTACAGTTAAGCATGGATGATGTCATGTAAGGTGGTATTTGTTTATTCCATTTTTTCTGAATTATGTGAAATTTTAACAGTAAATGTGTATATTTTCAAAAATTCAACTTACGTTTTAAAATTGGAAGCATTGAGATGTCTTATTTTTATGTACCAACTACACACAAGGAATGTGAACATTAAGTAGTACACACGTATCATACTAAGAAGATGATCAAGAGAGGAGGGAGGGGATGAAAAGGAAATAAGATGTGTTAGGTACATACACCGACTCCACACAAGGAAACTGTGCTACACGCATATACTAAATAGACTAAAGTTAAAAATATACAGCATAGAAAGTTATATTTCTTCTTCCTTTTCTTGGATGATGAGTTAAGTGACCTATATCTTGGTTTGAAGACCATAAATGAGCGGGTGCACAATTTTTCTCATTCATTTCAGTGCTAAGGATCAATCAGAATACTACCTTGAGTGATGGTGCAACGCAGGGCAAAATCCTTCCTCCAGATGGGCAGAGTGCTACAGTCTTCCCTTTGTTGTGCCGGGTGTGGTTTAGCTCCTCTACTTTCCTCAGGTATTAGGTTATAGATACAGTGAGGGAATTCACAGCAACTGAACAACAGTCACACACCTGGAAGGCTGAGCGAACCCTGGAGTCTGGTGCTTTATGTCACTGAGTGTAGTTGTGTGTGTGTGTGTGTGTGTGTGTGTGTGTGTGTGTGTGTGTGTGTGTGTGTGTTGGGGGTTTCTTCAATTCCCTGGGACTCTTTACACATGCACATTTCTAGAAACAGGTATATACATTCAAGTACATGCACTCATTTACCTGAATGACTGTTTTACATGTGAGGAACTGAGTCCTTGTCCTGGGAGCCCTCTAAGCCGGGTGTGGAGAAACATCCTACTCATTGCCTGCTCACTGAGCACAGCCCACCCTCCTGCGATGCAGCCGCTTGAGTATTTTCTCTCTAATCTCCTTCGTCTTAACACTGTAGAGAACAGGATTCATCAGTGAGGGGAGCAGGAAGTGGACATAGGAGAGAAGCGTGCGTGCAGGCGGAGGGAGCGGCAGCTCGAGCCAGTTGACAAGGGCCAGGAGAATCATAGGGATGTAGAAGAGGAGCACAGCAGAGAGGTGAGCAGCACAGGTCTGCACAGCCTTCCGGCGATCCTCACTGGATGCCACACTGTGCAGCACCCTGCCAATCAGGCCGTAGGAGATGAAAATCAGCAGGGGGTCTAATGCCATAGCGGACAAGACCACCCCGAGGCTGTAGAATGTACCCCAAGCTCCTGGGCAAGCGAGACGGGCCATATCTGGATGCAGGCAATAAGAATGAGTCAGAATCTGTGGGTGGCAGTATGGCATGTGGGCCAGGAGAAAAGGTAGTGGCAGGTGGACACCCAGACATCTGAAAGCAATGGCCACACTGATCCTGCTGACAATGTCATTGGTGAGGATTGCTGGGTAGTGAAGTGGGCGGCAGATGGCCAGTGCCCGATCAAAGGCCATAGCCAGCAAGACAGAGGACTCCATAACAGAAAACACATGGACAAAGAACATCTGTAAGAGGCAGGCGGAGGCAGGGATAGCATGAACATTAGCAAGGGCCAAGCCCAGCAAGGTGGGCATCAGGGCTGTAGTCAAACCAACATCAGACATACTGAGCAGGAAGAGGAAGAAATGCATTGGACGATGTAGTGTGGGCTCCAGGGCAATGATCCAAAGGACAGTGCCATTACCCAGGGCAGAGAGGAGGTAGACAGCAACAAGAGGTATTGTCCACCAGGATGGTACAGCAGACAGGCCAGGCATGCCCACCAGCAGGAAGGTGGGAGCCATCGCGCTGCTGCCATTGAGAGCTGCCTTGGTGGAGAGTGTTGACATAGTTCAGCATAACAATTTGAACTCTGGAACCTAAAAATTGATTAAAGATATTTGTGTGATGATTTCTGCAATAGCTTGCTTCTCCTCTCTCCTCTCCATGCATATATATACATACACATTCCTTCCCTATGAACCAACACGTCCCTTCTAAATGTTATGCTGTTTACATCCCTGGACTTGGAGCTTTTTCTCTAGTTGTTTTGCTAGCTCTCTTTCTCTCCCAGAACTATTTATCCATAGGCTTTTAATCCTGTCCATTTCTGTACCACTTTCCTGATTTAGCTCTTTCCTTATCTGACAAATACTAGAGAGATCTGTATTCTCAAATCTACTTTCTATTCATTTTTCTCTCCTTCCCACGTAGTCTGTCTTCGTGCTGCCTTATCAGTCACATTTGATCCATGTTAATTGTTCTCTTGAAAGTACCTGATACTTTGTTTCTAAATCAAGGAGCACTCATTTCTCTTAAGCATTTTTTTCTTAGTGATCTATTAATTTACACACTCTTATTCCTGAAGGATCATTACTTGGCTTTTTTTCTTTCTCCTCATTTCTCATTTACTTTCATGATAACAGCTAAAGTCTATAAGCTGACAAATCAGAAATGCATCCCTATTCCCTTCTATGTTTATTTCACCTTGGAATGCTCTATTTGAATGTACTGTATATCTTAACTTTAAATAATTTGAAACAAGTCTTAGCATATGCATTTTAAAGCCGCTCCTACTTCCCTCAATTAGAAGACAGTTGTGGGGACATTACAACAACGATTAAAAAAAAGTTGGTGGCATTAACGCAGTGATTTCTCAAAGTGAAAGCCATAGAATTAACTACACACCTACAACTATCATATCCAAATACTTTTCTAATATCAGTAAAAAGGACTAGGTGCACAGGAAAGTCTTTCCCTCAGCTAAACACTTGCTATTCTGAGGTTGCAGTCCTCCTAGTGGCAAGCCACTGGCCAGCAGCAGCTGGGTGTAAAAGGGCATCTGTCTGAAAGGAAGTGAAACCAGATGGTAAGAGGAACTAATGGCAGATATGAAGAGTGCTGAAATTAATAAGTGTATAGACCAATACAAAAGTCGATAAATCTGTTTCGAAAAAATGTTTTTCCATTTACACACACACACACACACACACACACACACACACACACACGTGCTTCTTGATTGCTGATGGAATTTACTCCAATAATCTCATTGAAATTTTAAACATTGTAAGTCAAAACTGAATTTATTATATCTAATTCAGAAGGAATTTCTACTTATTTAGCAACACTGAACTGCATACTTAAAATTTTGTTCAGTGGGTTTATTTTTACCCTAATACAAATACAGACAGAGGAGGAGAGAGGAGAGGAGAGAGAATTAGGGGGAGAGAGAGAGAGAAGAGAGAGAGAGAGAGAGAGAGAGAGAGAGAGAGAGAGAGAGAGAGAGACAGAGAGAGACAGAGAGAGAGACAGAGAGAGAGACAGAGAGAGACACAGAGAGAGAGAGAGACAGAGAGAGAGAGACAGAGAGAGAGACAGAGAGAGAGAGACAGAGAGAGAGAGAGACAGAGACAGAGACAAAGACAGAGACAGAGACAGACTGGTTAGAAACCTAAACATGTAAGAACCTTGAACGTGAAACACGCTGGGAGATCAGGAAGGGAGGGATGTGCTGGGCTCCTAAGGAAAGCTTTTTCTGCAGAGGGTTCTAGCACGCTGATGCCTTGAGCTTCTGCCTGTACCCCCTACCTCACTTTGTCCAATTGTGCCCACTGAGAGCAGAGTGGGCATCCCTTGACTCACCCTTCACTGGGATGAGAACTGTGTCACTCCACACTCCAAACCACAGGAGGTCTGGATTCCTATTGGGTCCAGCTGGCCAGATTCAGGGTCCAGTGCATCCTGACCAAGATCAGGGGACCACAAGAGAAGGTCTTCCTGACTGCCCCTTAGGAAATGTCCACATATGTGATTTAGGACATGCAGGGGCTCCTCTGCCTTCTGTGTGGCTGCTGGACCCAGGACTCTATCTTCCCATCCAGAGCCCAAGTCACACTCTGAAGCCAGCATGCCTACCTGGCCCAGGCTCTGCTTCCCTCCTACTGGGCTTGCTCATAACAGGTCTCCCAGAATGCCCAGTTCACTCCAGGCACCAAAATTATCAGATTAGAGCAGTTATAAATTGTGTCTGGATCAGGCCTGACCTTCCAATCCGTGGACATTGTGGGGATCCAAATACATTACAGGATGCCAGCCAAGGAACAAAATTGGTCTCAGTGGTTTGTACTGAGACTGTCACTAACATCCTTCCCTTGCTGCTGCTGGCTGCTAAGCTCTGGACTTTGCCTCTTGTGCCTGGTACAATTATATTAGTATTACAATTATTCATTGCAGAAGTTTTAGTGCTCCTGATCTTCTTGTATGCACTTCTTACATCTCCCAGCACTAAAAATCAATCTCTCTCTCTCTGTCTCTCTGTCTCTGTCTCTGTCTCTGTCTCTGTCTCTGTCTCTGTCTCTGTCTCTCTCTCTCTCTCTCTCTCTCTCTCTGCCTTTGTCTGTCTTTCTGTGTCTTTCTCTCTCAACCCTTATGTGTGTATGTCTTCCTCTCTATCTCTCTGTCTCCCTCTCCTGCTCCTCTCTCTATTTTCCAGGTTACTCATGAACTCATAAATTTAAATTATGCTTCTACTTCAATCTCCTAAGTAGCATATGGGTGTCACACAGATTTGAAGGCCACATCTTTGTCATAAATCCTTCCTCAGATCTGAGCATAGTTCCTGATGCATAGCGTGTAGTTTACAGATCATTTCTGCTCATTAAATGAGTGTGTTTGATATAAAGTAAAGCAAAAAGGGGATTTGGGCCCAGAGCCTGTTGGAAACAGCCAATGAAGCATTTGCAATGCTATTTAAGCCCCTGTATGAGAACTTGCATATTAGACAAGTTCATCTATTTTAGAATTTTAGAAGTTCTCACAAACAACTAATCAGTACAGAGAAGCCTATTCATACTAAAATTGATGCATTTAATAGCTAATAAGAATAATCACACACTATACAACTCTATGCTTTCCCAAATATCACACATCATATACATTTATCTAAATTCATACACTGAAACATTCACATTCATATAAACATGTAAAAAAGGTTTATATTTACTGATACAGATATTTCAGATGTATCACTATACTAAATTCAAACAAAAATGTACCCTTCCATTCATGTCACATTTAAGGATGCAAAAATCACAAATAAATGTTTATTCCCTTGGAAGAAATACTTCTAAACTTTCATATATATTTCATATATATATTTGTACTCATATGGACAGGCACGTAGAAACAAAAGTGCTTGTACACGCATATATGTTGTTATCACACACACAGTCCTTCCTTCCCAGAATGTGCTTCACTGAGAACACCCACGGAGTCCAGCTTTGTCTTTAGGAATCTAGGAATCAAGGCCCCTCCAGATTATCACCAAGCAAAGAAGATAGAAACTCATCTAAGGTTTTGGGATAGAAGATACAGCCATTGAATTTTTTAGGTTCTCCAAATCTCCAAAGCAGGACTTGTCATCATCAGTAAATTTGGAACCATACACAATTTTGAGACAATGCTCAACCATAATTTTGACCTGCAAATTTTGATGTACCTTTGTCTTTTTAAAGTCTGGCACTCAATTTTATAATTGTCTACAAGTTTTATTTAATTCCAAGTACTGCACGCTATTTCATAGTCACCACCTTCATGTATACCTCTCTCTGCCTTCTCTGTTTTCCATTTAGGAATCAATTTACTATTGCTGGAACTCTCGCTCTATCAGATCCATTAGGCAGTCTGATGCAGTGTTTCTCTTCAAACAAACTGTCCTCTAGTGTGACATCTCTATGCATGATTTCCATCCAAATGCCTTTATAATAGAACCAGTAAATTATTTCAACCACTTCTTTATATTACCTTCTAAGCTATATGAGCACAAAGATTTTCTGCTATATTTTTAATTTCTATTAAAGAAGTACCTATTTATATTATATCTGAGAGAAATTTGTTGAATTCTTTGAGTTATTTTGAAATAACTGCTTCAAAATTTTTTCTCATTGTCTAATTCCTAGCCTCGTATCTCTTCATTCTCCAGAATAACACTGCTCTATTCCTAACACCCTACTTTCTGTACCTTAAAATTTAAGGCCCAGTCTACATATTAATGCTTCAAAGATTGAAGTAACTTTCTGAGGTATCTCTCCCTTCTTTCCTGTTCTTCCAGGCTCAGAAATAGGAGCTTTCGCATCTGTCTCTCCCCTCTTACTTTTTCATCTCCCCATTTTGACCTTCTCCCCATTATTTTTACCACCACCAGCCCCAGTCTTACTGTTCTGTCTGTGCCTGCTTCTCCCTTGAGCAGTTCACTCACCGTGCCTCGTTTCTCCCAGCGACCCTCACACACCTTGGTATTGTAGTGTACTTCCTCAGCTGTATTCTTTATGTTACTCTGGCTGTGCCACGTCTGGGGGATTGGGTGGGGTTTGGGGGTACAGTAAAGGTGAGCACAGGTGTCCAGCCTCTCTCTCCCAGAGCCCCATGGGGAAGCTTCAGTGAAATGCCATGGTTAGTTAAGAGCTTGCTGTTCTTCCCAGCAGAAGAACCATGACAACACTTGATCTGCAGCAGGAAGGGATGAATCCCACCCTCCTTAGCATCCAGCCCTGCTCTCATAGCCCGTGAAGCAGGTCCCCTTCCACTTCACAGCAGCGTGGTGTTCACAGGTCCAATAACTTGTGATTCTTTCACTGACCTGACTGTCCTTTGGCCATTATCACAACCCCTTCCAGCATTTTTTTTTTTACCAGACAATAGATAATGAGCCCCAGAGAGTGCCGTGGGTTTAGCCCTCAGGGACACCTTTTGGTTTTGTGGCCTCTGGTTTTTACTAATTGCCATTAGCTCAGTGTGGTACCACATGGTGCTAATAGCACCAAGGTCACAGGTTGTCTCTGCAGAGATC